GGGGAAAATATGGTTATTTGACCTTTCTAGTTGTTTTGATTTGGGATAATATGCAAACCATTCACAGTGTCAAGGTAGTGTTTAAACTTGTCCTGGTAAATTTCTCCCTGTGGGTACCTAAGTGCATTTGGGAGCCAGACCACAAAAATGTAAGCAAACCAAAGCAATCAGGAGCCCCCAGGGAATAAATCATCATGGAGCTTTTTCTGGATAGCTGAAGATTTATAAACTTTCAAGCACCAATACTTTTCTTAGCTAACATTTGCAGTGGGAAGATTTACAAAATGTATTATACATTGTCCCAAAAGTCTGAGTGCAGGCTTAAATTTTAATAGCTTAAACTCTTGGGACACCCTGTAGGACACCCTTTGTGGGTGTAGTTTTTGGGACACAGCAGCTTTTTTTCTCTTTCTCTTTTTTCTTCTTTACAGCAGTTTTCTTTAGCTGAGTTTATTTCATATAGTACCAACTGAGTTCTAGATACATGAGGTTTTATTGTGCTTTTATGAACTTTCATCAGCTTTCATTGCAATTCATGAAACATTTGTGATTGGTAAAGTATATTAAGTACCTACAATGTGTAGAACACTGCTGTAACTGCTGGGCAACATATAAAGCATAATAATACCATTTTTTAGCTTTTAATTTAATCAGAGATAACACATGTGCAGACGTTCCATAACATAAAATATTACATGGTAAGTAAGACATAAATGAAGGGCTATATGAGGTTTTTTTTTTTTTAAAAGGAAAGATCATTGTTAAGAGGGTCTAGAATAACTACAGGAGAGGTCCCATGGGGTAATAGACTAGATTAGATTTATTAAGTAATACCACGTGGGAAGCACTGTGCTGGGAATATAAATAACAGAAAAAATAAAGACAATCCCCAGTCCTTTCCCTAAGAGTGCTTACAAATCTGAAAGGGGTGAGAGTGAGGTAGAAAATTGTCCATAGAGGCAGGAGCTGAGCCAGTTAAATGGCCGGCATGAGCAAGGTTTTGGGGAGAAGCTTATGGGTAGGAAAAGCAAACAGCAGGGATGGAGATGATTCCAGCATGAGAGGCAGGAAGATCTGAGATCAAATCCTAAATCTAATACTTGCCAGTTATATGATCATAGACAGGTCATTTAACTTCTCATAGCCTCAGTTTCTTCATCTGTAAAATGAGGGTAATAATGCCTCTAATATCTATTTCTAGCTATCACTTAGGATAGCTTGGTGGCGCAGTGGATAGACTGCTGGGCCTGGAGTCAGAAAGAGCCATCTTCCTGAGTTCAAATCCAGCCTCAGGTACTTACTAACTGTGTGACCCTGGACAAGTCACTTAACCCTGTTTGCCTCAGTTCTTCATCTGTAAAATGAGCTAGAGAAGGAAGTGGCAAACCAGTTCAGTATCTTTGCCAAGAAAAGCCCAAATGGATCATGGAAAGTTGGACATGACTGAAAAATGACTGCACAACAATTTTCACAGGGTTGTTGTATGGCTCAAATGATATAATGTATGTAAAGTGCTTTGTAGACTTTAAAATGCTAATGTCAATTTTTGTTTTTGGTCTGGAAACTGCAGTTTCACTGGTAGAGGGAACTTTTAATCAGGACAAATTCTCTATTAACCCAGATAGGCACTTGTTCTTCAGCTTAAAATCTTACAGAGATACCTGGGACTGTGAAAGGTTAAGTGACTTGTTCATGGTTGCACAGGCAGAATGGGTCAGAGTCGGGATTTGAACCCAGGTCTTCCTCATTTTGCCATCATCTCTCCATCCACTACCCCCCACTTTCTCTCTTTTATTACTATTTATTGTCATAATCTTGTTCTTTTTAGTATTGTTGTTTTTGTAGTTATCTTGTTCTCATCTTTTTCAACAGGGTTCAGGCAGTAAGAGTCCTGGGACAAGTTATATCCTGATATTATCCCTTTTATTCAGTGTTTTACTGCTGTAAAGGTAGATAAAGTAATTGCTTTTTGCAATTGAAGAAAAATATTAGAATCTAAGCTCACCTTTTGTAAGCTCAGTTGAGCCTTATAACTCCTGTTACAGGTAGGAGAATAGGGATGATATGTATTTCATCCTGTTCCCAAGTGATTTCCACCTCCTTACTTAGTATCTATAATTTACGAGCTTTTTATTTATGTAGCTTATAGATTAGGAGCATGTAGATTAGTTGGTGGTGATGTCTATTAATATGGTATTGTTAAATTTTTCAATGTTATATCTGGGGGATTAGGAGCAAAAGCTTGATCTGTGATAATGTTCCAGTTCCAGTAGTTTGCTGGCTGAGTTTCTAGCTGCTTTCATGTTTGTATTGATAGAATGAGGATTTGTCAGGCCATGAGAGACAGTAAATTTATAAGGTATAAGTCTAGTCACTAGGTTATGTCTTGCTAGTATTTGGTAGGTGCCAAATTTTTATAGCCTGCAGTGATATGCTGCAGATTCACTACCATTTCATTGCATAATCTATGTTGATCACTAAGTCTTGCTTCCTGAAGAATAACCCTACTGTAGTTTCTCGTGGCAGTGCCTTGGTCCTGAATTGCTCTTGTAAATCCTTCTGTTTTCACAAATAAATTTTTGTGATTCAACTTTCAGTGCTTCTCTATCAACAGAGTTCATGTGGCTATCCCCCCATAAATGGGGTTTAGTTATTTCATGGGCCTCCTCTAGAGGGAAGCCACTTTTGCTTATATTTGACAAATCTAATGGCATATACCTGTTACCAGTTTTTATTATTGCTTAATGAAGTGATGCCAGCTTATTCCAAAAGTATTTCTATCGATTTTTGACCTCTTGATCATGTGTGCTAAGAATTTTTATTAACTGTCTTTTTCCTTTTTTGACTTGGAATTGTTAGTCTTTCTATAACTGCCTTAGAGTGATGGGCTCTATGTTTTGTTAATATTATATAGATTTTTATTAGAGAAATTCATAGGTCATTTGTGGTCATATTAAAATTCCAAAAGTGCACATTATGATTGTCATTACATAGGTGTTAATACTTTAAATGTGTTTTTCCAATTAAGCTTTTATTCTAGTATCTTGTAATTCTCTTAATATATTCAACCCCAGTCTTCTCCTTGATTTCTTTATGATTAATGTGTCTTACCTGGAGAACACCTAAATATTTGTAAGTATCTCCTTCAACCACTGGTTCAGTGTGACCTCTAGATTCAAGCTGTAAATCTTTGTTCTCTAACTTTCCTTGATGTATATTAGCAATTTTATACTTATTCAGTCTACATGAGATTTTGACATCAGCATGGCTGGGTTTCCCATATTTTGTCATTCTCCGTTGTCTCCCATCCCATACTTCCACAACCCCACACTGGCACAATAGCACTGATGATCATTTGGACTTTGAGTTTTTCATGGGTTTGGTGGCAGTTGTTTTGGACTTTGAAGAATTGGTAGGATTGAATAGGTTAAGGTTTGTCTGGAGAACATTTGAGAAATAGGAAATAGCACAATCAAAGGAAAAGACAGAGGAGATGAATCCCAGGTTGTATGTTCAGGAATAGTAAATAATCCTGTTTGAAGTAGAATACATAGTATGAGGAAAGGCAGGCTTGTACCAGATTATGTAAGCTGTGAATTTTATTTGATAGCTAATAGAAAGTCAGTAAATATGTTTGAGAGAAGAGACAGTCAGATCTATGTATAATGAAGATTAGTTTGGCAATGGGGTACAGGATGGAGTTGAGGGGTGAGAAGTGGTGGTAAGAAAGGCAGAAACAGTTATTAGGGATCTGTTCCAATAATCCAGATAGATGACAATGTCATTCTACGCTAGGGTGGTAGTGGAAGTAAGGAGGAAGGCACAAATCTAAAATGTATCATTTAGATAATTACATATGAGAACTAAGGGAAGGAGTTCAACTCCTCTGGGAAAAGATTGAAGCCAGTGTAAGTGGCTCAAGTAACCTGTTTGCATTTAGTCATTCTAAGGAACATGATAGCAGCTCTAGAGGTATGGAGGAATCCTAGGTAGGTCTTGTCCTGGGCTTCAAACTACTTAAGGAAGCATTGCTCACCCTTATTGTTGTAAGAGCAGCATCCCCTGCCTAATTTAGAGGACAAACTAATGGGAAAATAACTCTTAATCCCTTCTCATAACTAAATAAAATGATCATAGTTTTAGTCCTTCAGTATTTATGGACCATTTATTTTGAGAATGTATACAAGTAGAATCCATAGAAAAGGATAAGGAAGAGTATCACTGCACTGATTGGGAACTTGTAAGCTATAGCCTTTTGATATGACAATGAATCTTCTATTACAACCTTGTACTGATGATTGCTACTGTGAGTGAAGTCCATCCACTTCCTGTTTTTAAGTTTTTTTTTTAAAGAAGTAGAATGCTTCTCATGACATATTAAATATGCATTGCCTTTGGAAAGTTGGTAATATACACATAATTTTTAGATAATAATAGGTAATGTTTATATAGCACCTTGTACGTACCAGGCACTGTGATAAGTGCTTTGTAATTGTTATCTCACTTGAGTCTCACACCAGCTCTGAGAGGTAGGGGCTAATATCACCCTGATTTTACAGATGAGGAGACTGAAGAGAACAGAGGTTAGATGACTTGCTCAGAGTCACAAAGCTAGCAAGTGTCTGAGGCTGGATTTGAACTCAGGTCTTTCTGACTCTAGGCCCAGCACTCTATCCACTCTTAGGAACTTGCTACCCTTACTTCCTAACAGCTGCTTAACATCTCATTTTATGTATTTAATAAATGGCTATGGTGCAGAAGATGGTAATTTTTGTTTCCTCTAGGCATAGTTGCTCATACTGAAATAGTTAACCTCTCCATGAAGCATGAAGAACAGAGCATAATTTCTTCTCCTGGGAAAGTATTTATTGATGGTACTGAAAAACTTTCCAAGTACAATATTAGATGCAAATTATACAGTCTAATATTCAGTCCTGAGACATTTTTATTCAACTTGTTGCTAGTCCTGAATAAAATAAACACTGAAATCTTTCTTTTAGGCAGTTACTGAGAAAAACTTTGAGAACAAGGATTTTCGAGCATCTCTAGAAAATGGTATCCTGTTGTGTGAGTAAGTATGTGAACTGTTTGTTTTTAATTATTAAAAAGTCTTAATTTTTCCTTAGGGAGTTAGCTTGGTTTTATTCTGGGGCCCTAGACTGTAACCTGAACTCCAGTTTGCTGTCTTAAAATTGAGTGCTATTAGCCGCAATGAGGGTTAGGATGAACTGTCTTATTTTCTTTTTTGACAAGCTAGGCTCATAGATAAATATGCTGTGTGTATGTATGTGTGTGTATTATATATATATATATATATATATAATACACACACATATATACAACACACATATATACATACATATATGTGTATATATATACATATATGTTTATATATACATATATATGCATACATACATATGTATATATATCTATATCTATATCTCTATCTATCTATCTATCTATCTATCTATCTATCTATCTATCTATCTATCTATCTATCTATCTATCTATCTATCTATGTTAGATTTCAGCCAAGCATTTGCCAGAACATTTTATGCTCTCTTGGTGGACAAAATGGAGAGATGTACACTAAATTTAACACCCTTAGATAGTTTTACCAAATCCACTTGTCCCTTGGAAGAAGGAATTGATTTATCTTTGTTGGCCCCATAGGCACACCTAGTAGCAATTTGATAGGACTAGTCTCACCAAGTAATCCTTAATGAAAATCTGGGAGGTTGAGAGTAAAGATGGCAAAGTTGAGAGGCTTCACTAATGCATTGGCTGATAGTGAATAATATCTCACAAGATTTTGATAGGTTGAACCTAATGTGATGAATCAGATGAATTTTAGTGGAAAGAAACAGGAAATCCTATACTTGTGAAGCTGAGTTTTTAAGCCAAGTATAGGGGAGACATGGATAGATAATTATGAAAAAGATCTGTGGGCTTTAGTGGCTCACAAGCCCAGTGTGAATCAGTAGTGCAAAGCTGCAGCCAGAAAAGTGAATGTGATCTTTGGCTGCATTGACAGACATAGTGTCCAGGACTAGGGAGATGTTAGCCTCACTGTACTCTATCTTGTTCAGACCACATCTTAAGTAGTATGTTCAGTTCTGGGGATCACATTCTGGGAAGGGCATTACTGGGCTGGAGAGCCTCCAAAAGAAGGTTAGCAGGATGGTGAAACAGATTATCCTCTCTGTGGATTGGCGTAAGGAACTGGACATATTTAACTTGGAGAAGAGAAATGTCTGGGAAGACATGATAATTTTAAGTATTTGAAGTACAGTTCCTTAGAAGAGGAAATGGATTTGTCCTGATTGTAGGAAAGACCCAGGAACAATGAGTTATAGTTGCAAAGATGTGCATATTTCTCGATGATGTAAGGAAACTTTCTACTAATTATGGTGGTTCAGGAATAGAATGGCCTACCTTGGTATGTGCAGTAGGTTTCTTCTCCTTAGGAGATCTTTAAGTGGAGGCTTAATAATTACTCGTTGGGGAGTGTAGAGGGATGGATTGGATGAGAGGGTATCCGAAGGCACTTTCTACTCTGAGATGCTGTGATTCTGACTAGATGAGTACATCTCAACAATTCTACTAGAAAAATTGTGGGGTTTTTTGTATACAAATTAATACAAAGTTATCATTTTAATGTTACTAGTAGTAATCTAATTTGCATGCAGTTATTATTTTAATGTTATTATTAATAATAATCTAATCTGTATACAAAGTTATCATTTTAATGTTATTATTAGTAGTAATCTAATTAATAGCCCTAGCATTGCTTAGGCAATGCTATTGGTGTTATATATCACCCAAGCATTATTTCTTTATGCTGTTGTAGTACATATCAGTGTCCTACTGTATTTTCTATTGTTCTCCTGCTTCCAAAGGGTACAAGTGTTAATGTTTTAAAAATAGTGTTGAGAAGGGAATTTGCAATCTTTATTTTTCTGTCTAGTATATCTTATTGTAAATATTTCATTATCTGCATATTGTAATTAATATCAGCAAATACATCTTGGTGTAAATCTCCAATGCTAAGTAGAGTAATTTAGAAAACTAAATTATAATTGGAAGCAACATAATTTTTTTCTTGAGGATTTCACGTGGTGATCATGAGATAGATCTAACAAAATCTTCTTTATGCATTGTCTATTCATGTTAAACAAATGTTTATTGAAGCCCTACTATGTGCAAAACTGTCACTCTGTTTTTGGTAGCAAAAATATAATAACATGCCAGCTCCAGAATCATGATGTCCCTGAATGAGTTTGCCTAGTGGAGTAGATACATTGTGCTGCTTATAGGTGTTATCTTTTTCGGGATCACAGTTGGTAAATATGACTTGTGCATCATGACTAGCTGATGAGAGAGTCAGCAGAGGTCCAGAAGAAAGGATGTGGCATGATGGTGTAGATGAGACATGAATGTAACTTATTGAATGGAGTCTTGGACCTGGAGTCAGGAAGATAAGTTCAAATCCTGCTTCAGAAACTTGCTAGCTGTGTGACCCTGGCAAGTCATTTAATCTGTCTGCCTCAGTTTCTTCATCTGTAAAATGAGAATAATAATGGTACCTGCCTCCTGGGGTTGTAGTGAGGCTAAACTGAGGTAATAAATGATAAAGTGCTTTGTAAACCTTATAGTACTATATAAATGCTAGCTGTTATTATTAGCTACAGAATTAGAATCACACAATTTTATCATTGGGAGGCCCATCCATTCCACCTCATATGTGAAAATAGAATCCCATTACGATATGCATGAATGTGGTCATATGGACTCTGCTTGAAGATGTCCAGTGGAGAGAGACCAGCTACTTCCTAGCTAGTTCATTCCTCTTGTGGATAGCTCTAATTGCTGGGAAGTTTTCCCTGCCATCAAATTTAAATTGGTCTCATTTAAACTTCTATCAATGTTTCTGGTCCTTCCCTCTAGAATCAAACAGCGTCAGTCTATTCTCTCTTCTTCATGATAACTCTTTGCAAGTATTTTAAGGGCTATCATATGTCACCTTCTCCTTACCACCAGGTCTTCTCTTCTCTAGACTCAATTCCCCTTTTTTTTCCACGTATTTTCATATGCCACTATCTCAAAGCCCCTCACCATCCTGTTCTATTAGTCAAAATGTTTAGAAGCAAGAGACCTAGATTTGAGTCCATTTCCTCATTTGTATAAGGAAGGGATTGGACTAAACGATCTTTGAGGTCCAATTTTGTTCTAAATCCTATGATCCTATAAGAAGTGAGCAGTAAATTGAACTCTAACACACCCAAACTTTAGGAGCATTTAATTATTTAAAGCTGCCACATAGGTATGAGTGGAATGTATTCAGGTTCAGCCACCAGAGATGTGGATAGGGACTCTAGAAAATACCCTGTGTTCTTATTGTCACCTCACTTTGTAGACACTTCAATGTCGTATGATCTCACAGAACATTGTGATACTGTAGCAAGTGGTTATCAAGGTATTTGGAGTCTTTCTTTTAGGAATATAGAACAGAGACCTGTAGAAAGGACAAGGTGAGCAAGGACAAAAAGCGATAGTGTTTGTCCTTGGCTATCATCCTAATACAGTTGTCATTTATTTGAAATACCCTTTGTGATAAGTTTAGAATGTTTAATCCTTGTAGGTATCAGTTTATTTGGTCACCTGCAGATTATAGTATATTCTGTTCAATTATATTTAAGCACATTCTAAGGGTGAAAAAAGAGAGAATCCTTTTAAAGATGTAGGGGGTGAAAGTAGTCCAAAGAGGTTTAATATACCATTGCGAAACAACTTCTAAACAAAATCTAAGCTTTAATTCTAGGCAGGAATGAATGATAGCGTGCCTATAAAGTAATGAGATAGGTGGATGTAGTTTTTTTAAAAAATCCAATAAAACCAAACATACTTAAAATGACTATTTTTCAAAATGTTTACCTTATTGGAATGATGCTCCAGGGGCTCCATTGCTCAAAATACATTTGGAACTCCTTTTGAGAATTTTTTTTTCAGATTCAGCTTATGGGACAGAAAAATGATCTCAAAACTGTATAATTATACTTTTTTGTGGCTTAATTTTCACTCAAAATATTATTACTGAACTTGATCATCTTTACTGACTTTTGTGAATGACTTTGAGTATTTACTCTAAAAAGGATAATTGCATATCACCACTAGAGGTTATTAAATATATGCTACATTCTTTGAGGACATTTTAAAAAGAATTCCAAAGAGAATTTGAACATGGTTGGAAGCATTTGCAGCATTGTTGGAATCCTTTTTTTTTTTAGGCAATTGGGGTTAAGTGACTTGCTCAGGGTCACACAGCTAGTAATGTTGGAATCCTTTTGTCCCAGCCTTTCTCCTCTGTAATCCATCCTTCCCAGCTGCCAAAATGATATTTCTAAAACACAGGTTGATCATATTATTCCCCTACTCAAGAAGTTCCACTGAATCCTAGTTGATTTCAGGATCTGCTGATTTTTAAAGATGTCATAGTTAGACGCCTAGCTACCTTTTTAGGCTTACTGCACATTGCTCTCATTTCACAAATACTGTGGAAGTTTATATTTTCTCTTAGAGATACTAGAGAAGTTTTTATGTGGACCTGAGAAGTTAATCTTGGTCTTTCTTTTGTCTTCTGATAGGGAGTCAGTTAATGAGCATTCATTAAGTGCCTACTATGTCCTAGGCACTATAATAGGCTCTGGGATAGAAAGATGAAAATGAAACAGCTCCTGCCCTCAAGGAGCTTGCATGCTATATGGGGAAACAACATGAACTTTTATAAGTATGTATAAAACATACATTTATAAATCTATACAGAAATAGATGAAAACTTTGTTGAGGAAAATGCTCTAGCAGCTGGGAGTAGGGAGGGTATAGGAATAAGAAAAGGCTCTATGTGGAAATTGGTGTTTGAGCTGAGCTTTGAAGGGAAGGAGAGAAGTGGTGTCCATTTTTGAGGCTATGGAGAGAAAGGAATTGTCTGTTAAGCTAGAGTGTTAAGTGGACAAATTAACTCTTCTCTAGGAGAAGTTTGAAGCTGGTCCTTACAAACTTTTTTGATTAGAA